ATTTGGAGTCTTGTTTTTGGATCCACCCTACTCCAGATAGTCTTTTCAATTTGTGTATTATTTTCAAGTCTGAAGTTTAGATTTCTTTTTATTCCTAGTACCCATGATCACTAAAACCATCTTTGGGAAATTATTTAATTCCCTGTTATTTTTTCCTAGAGATTTTTTTTTTTTTTTTTTTGGTCCTTTGATTATCTTAGTAAGATGTCTTACAACATGCTCTCATTTCTCTTCATTGGTCTTAATATGTGCTGCCCAATCTGCATAGAATTGCAGTGGGCTCCAAAAATTTATTTGAAGGTTTTGTTAGTGGTCTTTAGTAGTCTTTATTTAAAATATCAGCTCAAGTCAGTTGGTAATGTGGTTTGCACTGATAATAAGAACATTGTTTCCCACTATTCTTCTTGTTCATCAGTAAAGAGGAATGAAAAGAACAAAAATCAATTTTAAAAATTACTGTTTTCTAGAAAACAGAATTTTTGAGAATAATTTATCTGTAGCCAGCCTTGTAACTATTCTTAGCTATGGGTACTTAGATCACAGAACCATCTAGTAAGTTAAGTTAAAAAAAAAAAAAATCAGGCTAGTTCACCATTAAGTTCCCATCTTAAGTAAATATTCAAAATAATTAAAAGATATCTGAATCTGTGTCTTCAAATAAGTCAGAACATCTGATTAAGAAGTATGGGAAGTTCGTGAAGTTTTCCATGAACATGGGATTTTGGTCACTTGAATTCAGACAGGCCCCAGTTTAGTTCCAAAAATTTCAAGTCATTTCGTTTGTAACTTCTAACAGTTTCACACAGAAATTGAAAGTTAGATTCGTTGGTGGGATATGAAATTTGGAGTGTCCTGGAATGTTATACTAAAAGAACCTAACATCCTGCTGTAGAACCTGACCCCCGTGCATACTTTTTTTCCATAGGAAAGGCCATTTGTTTTTCTCTCATGGAAATCTTCAGAGAAATATCCATTTTCCAGGCTTCAGCTCTTACTGAATAACTAACTGGGAGAGTGGTCGTGCATGAAATTGCTATCCCTCATGGCTAATAACTAGTTATTATACTAAACTCTGTATTGTTCCTCTTGTCCTTTTTTAAAAATAATTTGCTGAAAGCAGTCATAATCATTCCAGATGCATGCCCATTTGAGCTTGAATGTTAACAGATCAATGAGACAGCATGTGTTAAATTCGTAGCCAGTCCAGTGCCTGACATTTAGTAAGCACTCCTTAAATATTACCATTATAAATATCATTCAGTAAACCTACAATGAATTGTTTCTAACATAAATGATAAAGTAACTACATCTAGATTGCATTGATGGAGTTTGAAGAGCATATCATCCAGGATGAAATTGCCTTGTTTTCTGCCTTTTTCAGAGCATTTTCAAAGTAGTTCTTAAGGGCTTACAAAAGTTTTAACACATCTGTCAACTTGTCACTTTGTTTTCATCAATGTTAAATTTCCTCTTTTGCTCATTACTTTCAAAAAGTGTGTGGTTTACAAATGTTAAAAGTGTAATATATATGTTTTAAATGCATTGCCTTGTTTTAAATGGTTATTTCCTAAAGCCATTCAGTATTCCTACAATCATATGCTCAGCTGGATTAGCATTGCCTTATGTCAAAGTAGAAGCATGTGAAAAAAAAAAAGAGCACTTAATTGGAATTTCACAGTGATTTCCACTTAAACCAGCTTAAACAAGGTGTATTTATGTATAGTAATCAGAAATTGACTAATCGCCTGTGTAAATATGTGTGTCAAAGGGTGATTTAAAACGGTGAAGAAATTCTACACAATAGGACTTCAAGCCTGGTCATGTTACAAAGTGTGAAAGCCAGTTTTTTAACCCATACTAGAGTTGTTACTATAGATTTTGAATATGTGTTTTGTAATTAGATTTGATACTGTCATTTTGATTACAGCTTTCGTATTAAGATAGGGTAATATATAGCAATATGACAGACTGTTCAATTAAAACTTTTTCTGGTTACAATCAATGTTAAGATCAGACATCTCCAAATGATATCACAAATAAATTTATTTGATCACTTGTCTCAAATGAACCATCCATTTTAAAAATCTTTTATTTTTCCACCCTTAAATCCATAGAGTTAGGCCGAGAAATATTTTGGTTAGAATAGGAAATATTGTAATATTAGATATCCGTATCAAATTTTTTTTTTTTTTTTTGAGACAGAGTCTCACTGTTGGCTGGGCTAGAGTGCCATGGCATCAGCCTAGCTCACAGCAATCTCAAACTCCTGGACTCATGCAATCCTTCTGCCTCAGTCTCTAGAGTAGCTGGGACTACAGGCATGCACCACCATGCCCGGCTAATTTTTTCTATATATTTTTAGTTGTCCAGCTAATTTCTTTCTATTTTTAGTAGAGATGGGGTCTCACTCTTGCTCAAGCTGGTCTCGAATTCTTGAGCTCAAAGGATCCTCCCGCCTTGGCCTCCTAGAGTGCTAGGACTACAGGGGTGAGCCACCAAGTCCAGCCACCCATTTCATATATTATAAATTTGATATGATATATGTAAAATATAACACAGATTTGATATAATATTTATATAACATATGATACCCCATATCATTATTTCAATGGTATCATTAGTGTCTGATCTTATTTTCTATGCTCTATATTGAGCAAAAACAAAAACAAACCCTTTTGGGGTATTTTCAGCTAACATGGTAAATGTTTAATTTTATGTGCATAAATACAGCATTGCTGAGTATTTTATTTTTTCCTTCTACCTCAAAACATACAAAAAGGCATACAGCACAATAGCCATGATTTAATTATCTATAGAGTATGAATTTTGGAGGAGAAATAAGTTAGCTAATATAAATGCTAGAGAATAAACATAATGAGGCAACTTTTATACTTAGAAATATATTTACATTTTTCAAAGTTCTTCATATATTCATAGTAATAATGGAAATGGAAATCTGCCTAAATAATGCTATACTCTTTTTTTTTTTTTGGTCTCCCCCACCCATTCAGTGCCATACTCTTGTAAAATAATTTAAGATGCGAAATTCAAATGAAATGATTTATCATTTCTGTGATGGCTTTATAGTCAATATTAGAACTGAAGATAACAATGAAACTTCAAAAAAATTTGCAGAGATCTTTGAACACTAAAATGGGTTTCCTTTTTATACTTTCACTTAGTTGCCAAATTTTCAAAACAGCATTAAAAGAAATAGTATATTCCTTGAAAATTGAAATAGTAATAAAACTAAAAACATCAATATTGATGACTTTCCATTGTATTATATAGGAAGAAAACTGCATTTATAATTAATTTGCAACTTTAAGGCATTCAGGACTCTGAAATACTGTAAAATTTTTATTGGGTAATAATCTTATTTTGATACAGAGAAATTGGTGAAAAAAACATATACTTTTAAGTTGACTAAAATATGAGTTGGAAATTACTGAGTTCTTCAAAAAGATATGTAGTCATATCAAAACAATGTTCGCTGTATGCGATTAAGAAAAAGAAAGAAGCTGCCACTTGAATATGAAGGGAAAATAATAAAAATATTTTTAAGTCACATTTTTTTATTTCAAGGTCATCTATTATGGAAGATACCATGTTTTAGGATATGTCAGAAAGCAAGGAAGGGGCTAATTCTCAATCCTCATTCTTTCACTAAGAAGACCACGGGAGTTTCCTATTTGTTAGTCTGGAAAATCATTTATTCAGTTACTAAAAACATATTGATTATTAAGAATGTGCCAGACACTGTGCTGGAAATATCCTCGTATAAGCAAGTGCTCACTTATAGAAAGTTTTGGCCGGCATTATATATTATTAAACCCATTGTATTAAAGAACATGGTGTATTTAAGGCATGGCATACAATAAGTGTTCAATAAGGGAGAGTTATTATTCACATCCTGTGACATCCTTCACAGCTATTTTTATCTACTGAGGTACAGAGTTTAAAATTTCACTTAAAATTTTAAATTCAAATGAAATGATCATAATTTATATGGTGGTTTCATAGTCAAAATATTAGAGCAACATATAATAATGAAATTTCAAAAAAAATTTATAGACCTTTGCACACCAAAATGCATCTCCTTTTCATACCTCTGCTACAAGAGTAATCATAACTATTCCATGCATATTTCTAGAAAATTTTATGAATATCATAGTTTAATAAATTGAGCACAGCAGAATTATATGGCAACTCACTATACTATAAACCCAAATGCTCTCAGGTTAACTGAATTTCTCTTGAGATAAAATGTGATTATTTGTTAATACTTTAAAACACATAAATGTGGTCAGAAACGCCACCTTTTGTTATGAAATTGCTCGTTAAATTAACTGTTACTAACTTTGGAATCCAACTCACTATTTCAAAGATCTAAAAATAAACAGTAAAGTAATACAAATTCTGTAAAAATTAAATATAAACACATACATTTAAATTATTTCTTAAGTATTAATAGAATATCTAGAGCTGTACTACTTAATATCATAAGCCCTAGGCACATCAGTTTATTTAAGTTTAAATTAATTTAGATAAAATATTCAGTTACCCAGTTATCCTAGCTACATTTTAAGTGTTCAGTAGCAGCAGGTGGGTAGTAGATACCTTGTTGGATGGTGCAGATACAGACATTTCCATCATCACAGAGAGTTCTCTTGGACAGTGATGCTCTAGGGTATTTTAAATAAAGGAATATTTGATATATTTACTGTTTACAATTATGACCACAGAGAAAATGAACTAGGAGGCTGAGTGTTTGATATATTTGAGTCTTCCCACCATAGCTTCCAAATCTTGATAAAATTATTTGGCACGCTCTTTGGCAGATGAAGGCTACTTTAAAATGACTTTGATTTCAGTACAAGATATAACTAAGTAAAGGCTCAGAAAATGAAGTGTGTTTACTCAGTGACTTTTGGGAAACTGGAGTTTTGAATATTTTCTGAAAGAATGGCTAATCCATGAGATCAATGCTTTCTCTGCAGCGCCTTCCAAACCTTTCCTTCTGAGCGCCCCGCCATTCTACTCGGCGTGTTGTGGTGGGCCCTGTCGGCGCCCCGGGTCCTCTGCTGCTTTTCCAAGTAAGTTTATGCTTCATCAGCAATGCCTCAGTTATTCTGTACACCAAAGCAGCAGGATTTAATGTGCTCTGGAAAACTAATTGGTAATGCAGTGGCAAGGAGCTAATTCCTCACTAAAAATCACAGCGATCCTATTCAGGAGGTTTCCAGAGATTTATCAAACCTCAGCACACTGAGCAATTGTGAGCGGTTTCTAACGGCATTGAAACCCAGGGCTGACACACCAAGGAAAGTGACTTGTTTTCCATTTGATAGAAAAGATTTCAGAGGGTCCAGTTTGGCTCTTTTCGAAACATGTAACAACCCTCCTTGAAAGAAGAGAAAAGAAAGGAAAAAAGGCAAAAAATATCTGCTGCATAAAATCTCCATTCAGTTTAAAATGTGACACAGAAAGTCACTAGGTGTCTATAGAAAATAATTAAAAATTGTCCAGCTCATGAAAGGAGACAAATCTGTCCTTTTTTGTCATCTTGAAGAGAACCAAACAGGGTTGTAGGAAATATTTTCAATATCTTCTCCAAACATGATAAAAGCAAAATTTTAATAGTGTGTGGGGGTGGAGTGAGGATGACAAACTTTCAGAAATCTGTAGTGTGTGTGTACACACTGTCACACGCAAAGAAGCAATGTCTAAAAGTAAAATTCACGTTGGTCTTGAGATTTCTGCGTCAGAAAAGTATCTGTAGGCAGAGAATTTGAGTTTATGGTAAAGAGGTCCAGTGGAGGGGTGCATTTATTTCAACTGCTCGAGAGAAAACATTTATTCAGGTTAACAGCTTTGCCAGGTGAAAAGTGAACTAAGAGTTGAGTCAGGCTAAAGCGCTGAGCTCAATCACACTTGAATTCAGATCCCTGCCGCCTCTGTGCATGTGTTTTATGAATGTTTCAGGAGAGCAGTTTCTCCACAGAATGATTCCTGACAAGTGAGGCAGCAAATGCTGGCCGTTTAATGAGCTGCAAGCTCTGAGCATCTCTTTAGGGGGCTGATACTTTCCCACAGAGCACTTTCCATGCCTGGGACTCAGCCACAATGGGTGACAGACCCGTGACCAATCGTCACTTTCACTTGACTCATCCACACGCGACCTCACCACGATTTTTCACTCTGCAGATGAACTTTAGGAACCATTTCACATGGAAAAGGCTTGGGCAAGGGTCAGTTGCCCTTTTGTATGGTCATAAAGCAAGGCTCTGTGTGTCAGTCTTTTCTCCTGTCTCACATTCCAAGTGAATTTCTGGACACCATTTAAAGCACTTGACTGAAAAATAAGGCAGTGAATGAAACTGACTTTTATAGACTCATTCTAGCTCATCTTCCCATAGAACCCTGTCTACCTGAAAAGGGATTTAGTGGATGAGCTGAGTGTATACAGGGACTTGCTGAATACACAGGCCCATTATCAACTGTGGGGATTGTTTATTAACCAGGACTGATACACTACTATTTTGGAAGTGACCTATTAATTGTCCATTTAACTAGAATGTATTGAATTCAAATAGAAAAATAGAAACCATGACTAAACCTTTTACTCGCTCCTTCAAGGTGGTCTCCTATGTGGGCAATTGAAAACTGTTGTGCAAATTAAGGAAACATTTATCACCATATGTTAGAGAGTATCAGGAAGAGACTTCTGGAGTGAAGACTTAAAAACCAAATATCTGATACTGTATCATAGTAGCATCTCTGTGGAATTATGTCTTTGGTGTTAGATTTTGGGAGTGGAGATTAAATAACCCACCCTTAGTTTGCTTATTCACCTTGGTATAATACGTTTACTTTAGTGAATCTCCAGCAGTACAGTTCAGGTAAGTCGAAATGGACAAAAAAAAAAAAAATCTATGTAATAGGCGGGCATTCGTGTGTGTATGTGTGAGTGTGTTATTTTATAGTGGTATTTTAAGAGTCTCTAAGCCATAAAAGTTGAGCCAGTTCAATAAATAGAGCACATAAAAGTAAATGTCTTAAGACATTTTCTAGATGACTTTATCTTCTCAACCACTTGAAAAATTAAGTGAGTCTCATTTTCCTCCATCTGCTTGTTAGTCCTCACTTTGTGCCTTTTGCATAACTGTTGTAAATTATGATGTTTATCCCTAGAGGTTATAAAGTCCTGTGTTTATCTTTTTTTTTTAAATAAACACACAAGCTGCAAATTAGCACAGCTCAGATCAATGATAGAAAGTGTTGCATTTAGTTTGTCTTCATTTCTAAAGTTGGCATTTTAAAACAGTTTGGTGATGCCACAAGTGTTCTTAATAAACAGTCGTGTCTCATTAGTTATAATGCTAAAATGAATTTCTTATTTTTTTATTTACAATGTTCATTGGTATTGGCAGTAAATAATAACAAAATGACGGAATTAAGCTGTCAATAAAGAATTCTACATAAATAATCATGATACCAAGGAGTAGTTAATAAGGTTTACATCTGTACAATAATCTTTTTTATTTAGGTATTTACTAGATTTCCTTTTTTTCTTTTTTTAAAATTAGAATGGTTTTTATGCCCAAGCTTTTAAATTATTTTCCATTATACAAAGGAAAATTAGCTAAATAAATTCGTATTTATTTTCAGCTTCATCAGCCAAAATTAAGGTTTATATTAAAAATTTTAATAACTGATGAAATCAGTGGCCCTCATCGTTTTACATTATTGACTTCACTCTTTCCAAAAGACTGGCATCGGATCAACACATTTCTAACTATGCAAGTGAAATATCATTTTGACTAATAGGATTCATTTGTTTAATATTGATTTGGTTTTCCTTGTTACCTTCTTAGATTTACAGTTGACTTCTTGTGGCAATGTGGAAACAATCATTCATCCAGTGCCCTTCTCACATACAGTTAAATAGTTTAATAGGTTATTTAAGCGCAACCCTTACAGTGGGGAAAAATTAAAAGGCAGTGGTAAAAGTTCTCCCTTCCCCCAAAGCAGTATATGGAAAATCTTTGATTACATCCATAAGGTTCTTTTCAAAATAACACATTTCACAAATAACATGAAATGGAAAGTTGTGGAAATTATGTAGATAATGACTTTTTAAAAACTATTTGAAAAAGCATAGGCATCTTAATTGTGTAGACTAGCTAATTGAATTAATCAGATAATTATTTTGCTTCATCTTTGAGTACCCAACTTGGATTTCACCTTTTGAGAATTTTATGCCTTAAAAGACAAATCTTAAATTTGGAGTGGCGTTATAAAAATCTGATCAGGGAAAATACTCTTTTGGGACAAGATGCTTTGCCCTTTTCTTGGGAGATGAACTTATATTGTACATTTTGAGTTCATCATACTATCTTCATTTTCTTGTTAACACTTATAAGAACATAATATACTTTCCAAGTTTGAATCTAGGATTTTCTGGAAGACAGCAGGAAAGAGACATTACTTTTTTGCAGTAAATATAACTTGGTTCTGTGAGTTTCAGGTCAATGATGGGTAGTTGACTGATTATTATTCTTGCCACCTGACCTAGCTGTGTTCTCTTGTATTGCTCTCAGTGGGAGTGGCCAGTGGGCTGAGGAAACTGACCAGGACCTATGGAAATCCACAAAAGGTTGCATACAAATTTTTTAAAATAAGGATTTAACTTTAGCACTGTAAGATCTTCAGAGTAATGCGGCATTTTTTTCCTAATAGAGAAAGAAACTTAATTATATTGTCTAAAACATAATAGAGTTTGTGCAATAAGATGAATATAGGTATTGACTTCTCAAAGTGAAGAGAAGAGTGTTCCATAGATAAATGACATTCAGTCAACCAGGAAAAATGTTTAAAGGAATCAGAGACTCAAAGACAATAGATTTTCCAAGTTGATGGCTCTATTCATCAGTTCTAGAGAGGCAGTGAAAGTACTGGGGTAAGATTCCTGGAATGGAATCCTTTTCTTCCCAAATGTTCTTAAGCAGTTAGGAGGGTGGAAAAGGGTGTGGGTGATAAGTTGGGAAGGGGAGCTGTTAGCATTATGGGGTACTTGTCCTTAATCTTATCTATAGCCCTTGACTGAACATAATAACATGGAATCTAACAGGGCTGCTTATAAAGTCCTGATTTTAGGTTTCCAAAACCAAGTGCACAAGTATGGAATAGGAGAGGGGGAAAATGGGCTGAATAGAACAAAGTAGGAAAGAGATACACCATCAGGTCTGTACGTGTCTGCAGAATGACACAGGGATGCTAGACTATTCTTTTATAAATAGACTATTTTATAAATAGACTAAATAGACTATAGAACAAGGGTGATTAAAGTCCTGCTGGGCTCTGAAGTGGTCAGACTATACCTGTTCAGTTCTGGAGGCCATGTAGAAAGGTACATTGAACAAACTCTCTCATAAAATCCAGGTTAAGAGGTAAGGAGCAACTAAAATAGTGAAGGATCTATATGACTAGTCAGGAATCTTGAAAGAAATTGGCCTGGTAGAGAGAAATGATAGGGAGAATGTGTATTTTCAAATTAGATCTATGGTATGCAATATAAAAGATAGAATTGGGACCAATGAGTATAGTTTGGGGGAAGTTAAATTTGAACTTGATATAAGGGAAAAATTTTCTATCAAATCAAGATGTATGATAAGTAGTATTATACAGCACTCCCAAATAATATATTATGTAGAGATTGGAGAATAGACTTTTAATTTGAATAGGGCAGGTTAGGCAAATGCTATATCTTCTGTCTCCAAACTTCAAATCACAGAAATTAGATAAGATACACACACATGCACACACACACACACACATATTTGAGAATAAGAAGGTTAAGGAATTTCTTGATGGAAGAGAAGATCCTGGAAGAGAAACCCCCTGAAAAATAGGAGTCAGCAGGAAAAGATGAGCCCACAGACAAGAATCATCCCACATTTGAGGAGAGCTGGCTCTAGGAGGGAGAGACACAGAATCGAGGTCTGAAATAACTTACTTTTGAGGAAATAGTTAATGTAGGCTGATGGCATTTTAGCTGGCCTGGTGGAGAGGCCTGGATTAAACAAACAACCTC